AAAAAAAAAAAAAAAAGTGAAAGGCTTGATAGTCCAATTAACATATTCCAGGAGTTTTTTCAAAGCTATACTGATCCTCTTTATTATATCCATGAATTCTAGAGGTCTGAGAATTCAGATTAAAAACCACTGCATTAAGTAATACTGTACTGATAATTCCAAATGAAAACTTCAGGTCACACTTTTTTTTTTTTTAAATGAATGGCTCTTTTTAAAAAAAAAATCTTTTTTTTTTTATTGTTGTTATTTATTTTTTATGTGATTATGGGGATTGAACTCAGGGCCTCATGCATTCTAGGCAGGTGCTTTACCACTGAGCTATCTCTCCAGCCCAAGTCACACTTTTGTACAACAATATCTTTAAAACTTTCAGATTGAACATAACATTAATTTAAGCAAACTTAACTAAAATTGCTAGAGAAGTAGTATCAAAATGGACTCCTCTCCCTGTACTCATTCTACCTGATACCGCAAGTTTATCCCTCTTTTCCACCCTGTTCCATTCATTACTTAAATCTCACTTTAACACACTTTTTAAGTTCTAAGAAAGTTCAGAATAAGTACTGTTCTTAAAATTAATTTCTATTATTAAATATTGAGAAAAAATAAAAATTCTCAACAAGGAACATTTAAGAATAGCAAATCTCCTTTTACCCATTTTTTTTAAACTGGCGAGACTTTGAATAACACTTTCCTACTTCCTAATTCTACTATAGGGCTTAAAAAACTGGTAGGGAGCCGGATGCCTGTAATCCCAGCAGCTCAGGAGGCTAAGGCAGGAGGACTGTGAATTTAAAGCCATCCTCAGCAAAAGTGAGGCACTAAGCAACTCAGTGAGACCCTCTCTAAATTTAAAAAAATACAAAATAGGGCTGGGGGTGTGGCTGGTGGCTGAATGCCCCTGAGTTCAATCCCTGGTACAAACAAACAAACAAACTAAAAAATTGGTAGGGAAAAATAGTTCTCTCATGGCCCAAATCCTTGTGTACTCTATCCAATTTAGAAAATATACAAATTCAAGATAACCTAATATTAGGAAAGGACCTGTCCAGGAAGAAATGTGTTGAACAAGGTAGATATCCATACAGTCACAAGAAATCAGGAGCAAGCAGAATGCTCCAATTCACTGGGAACAAAGTAAAACTGTCTGTGAAAGTTCTGTGTCTTTCCTCCAGTCTTGGCGTTACAAACCAATGGAGTCTCTTATACTAAACATCTCTCAGATTCAACTGCCTAGAATAAGCCAACCTTGGCATGTTCCAGTAACCACAAGAGGCAATAATTATAAAAGACTTACTGTAATGCCTGTAACAAGGCCATTTTTGAAGTTTAATTTATAAGACGAATAACCAGGCTTGAGGAGTATCAACAACTAGTGCCAAGTCACATGATTATGATGAATCAAAGTGATGGTTTAATCTAAGTCTGCATGATTCTTTCTAATATACTATACTGCTATAGCCACATCTTCTCTGTCCACCCCACCCTTTCTAGTAATTCTTCTGTTGTAATTCCATCTTCCTAACACCTGTGGATTTACTCAGCTTTTAGTCATATATCGCTTAGGATAGTGTAATAATCACCCAAGAGACAGAAAAGTGAGCAGTCATGAAAACAGTGCATTTTGGATTCTAAAACCTCTGAAAAGTTCAGCAAAACTTAATGTGCATGTGCATACTCTTCTCAAAAGGAGGATGAAAGTATAATTATTCATCAACTACTACTACTAGAAATCAGGTAAATTTTGCAATGAATTAACTCCGGAGTTTAAACCTTCAGAAGATGTTTTAAAATATTAGCTTTACCTTCTTTATCCAATTCTGCATCTTTAACCTCCACATCAGGGCCAGGTTCTAATTTCTCAGTACTGCTACATTCTGGTGCCTCTAGTTTCTCAGGATCATCTCCATGATTTTCATTTGAAATTTCTGGTTTTTCTTTTAACTGGTTTTCCAGGACAATCTTTTGTTCTGAACTGCATTTATCTCCACTACCACAGAGAGGAATGACATCAACTTTACCATTCTGACATTCCAGAACAGGTATTCCTTCAAAACTGTCAGTGGAGGCCTCACCATTCAGACAGCTGCCTTTAAGAAAAGGCTCCTTCCTAGATGTCTGTTCTGGATTAAGAGTACTGCTGCTGTGGATGAGCAGAGATTCATTTGAACTTTCTTCTTCTGTGGATGCAAAGTTCTCTTTAGTGCCTGCTCCGTTGTTTAGCCTCTGCCCCTGGTCCATGTCCATGATGTCACATGAGGATTCATCATTGGTCATAGATAAGTCCCCAGTCTCTTCTCCATTTTCCTCATGGCAATCAGTGCTTACCTCAAACTCTCCATTCTCTAGCAATTTTCTGTCCTCTGTATGGTTATCATAGTCCGCAAATTTGGTATCCTCTTCGTCTTTTTTTAAATTATTAACTTTTCTTTTCTTAATAATTCCTTTACCCCACTGTGATCGTCGCCTTGATTTTCTCCGTACCCGAACTATTTTATGAGGAAGGAAAAAAATGTGTATAACTTGGAATGTAATATCTAGTTTACATATGTTTATTAAAAAGGACCAAAAAGAAGGTAAACCCATACTGGTCTAACACACAAACAAAAACTCTTGGCTCTTGACATCCATGCTGACTAATCCTTAAAACCTATAAGCAGAATGGGTATGAAGTCAAGATCAACTCTGCATAATGGAAACTAAAAATTTTGCTTCCTGTATGAATTTGAGTTTACTCAGCACTAATCTTTTCTATTACCTTAGATTCTATGTTAAAGTGGCTCCTAACTTTAAACATCTAGGGGCCAACCCTATAATGTATACATTTGGGGAATGATCACATTACCAAGATTCCCAGGAAGTTTGAGCCACAGCCCTATCTTTCCACCAGAAAGGTAGATGCTTTGCCAGCAAGATCAAGAGATGGTTTCTAAACCATGAAGGGATATGAACACAAAAGCCAAAATAGCATGATAAAATAGTTACAGATATCCCCACAAAGAAATCTCCATTGTTGGGGCTGGAGATGTGGCTCAAGCGGTAGCACGCTCGCCTGGCATGCGTGCGGCCCGGGTTCGATCCTCAGCACCACATACAAACAAAGATGTTGTGTCCGCTGAGAACTAAAAAATAAATATTTAAAAAAAAAAAAAAGAAATCTCCATTGTCTCTCATTCCAGAAAAAGGAATCGTCCACAGTACACATGATTGTGGATAGAAACCAAAAGCCATATCAACTACTAACTTCCTTTTAAGACAAATGGTTCATCTGGCAGCATCAGTTTCTTACAAAGTTACCTAAGAACTTACAAAGTTACTTAAGGAAAACCAAGTCCTCTGCTATCAAGGTTGTTGTGACATTAACAAAATATCAAAAACAAACCTTCAGTCAGTTATATAAAAGTGAGATCTATAAAAGTTGTAAAGACTATACTCTTAAGATGATATAAACTACAATGTGGTCTGTGAATAAAGGTGGGGCTTTTAGGTGATAACGGACCCCAAAATTTTTATTTCTTTTATGTATGTCAAAGGTAGTTTGATTAGGCAATCTACCCAGCTGGACTACTCGCACTGTTTAATAAGGACTTGTAGTCTTCCAGCAGTGCAGAGTATGTTTATATACTGCTTTCAACCTTTTACTTTAACCCCTACTGTGTCTGTAAAGACACCAACTTATTAATAAGGAATGGATACATTTAGTTATAAATATGAGTACAGCTACTAAAGTTTTCTCACATCATCTCTAAAATTCAAATTATTTAATCATTTGGCTCAAAGACTATTTTCCCTTCAAAACTACAGTATCATTAGAACTCTTCATCTTTCCCCCCAATTTCAACTTTTATAATTTATAGTGATATGGTTTTCCCTAATTCCTACTTTTATAATTTATAGTTATAGGGTAATTGGGATGAACAAGAAAATTTATTATTTTTCTGTTAAAAGCTGACACACAGGTTCAGGTGACAGGCATCTGAACCAACCCACTAAAATTAGAAAAAACTTAATCTAATTCACATTAAAAACTAAAGAAAGACAGTTATCTTACTAGGAACTCAACAGGTGGAGCTGTTGTGTTTTTGCTATTGACAATCCACTACTGACACTGTAACCTCTCCTATTCTCAAGCCAACTAACCAAAAGCATGAGAGGGTCCCTTTCTCTTTCTTAAGCCATGGGACTCTAGGGCAAAAAGAGGCTCAACTCTACCAAATTGAGAGCCAGCTCAGTTTATTTACACATAGAACACAAATCAAAGGAGAGCCATTGAAATGAGTTTACTTCTAATGCTTTCATCATGGCAAATAATAGAGAAAACGTTCTTATTCTTTGGAAGAGAAAAGAGGTATTTACTCCTCCTTAATGCATTATTTCTAAGGACTACTAGAATTTTGGTAAAACAAAGAAGGGAAGGAGGGAAGGAAGGGAAAGAGGCTGGGAAGGAAAAGAAGGAAGAAAGGGAGAGAGGGAGGGAGGAAGGAAGGAAGGGGGAAAGAAAGAAAGAGAACTGATCATATAAGCTCTACAAGAATATAGATTTTTGTTTACTCTGCTGTATCGTCACAATTCCTGGCAGGAGCATGTGTACTGGTGGATCTACTCCTTCATATGCCACTTCCTTTATCAAGGGTGCTGTGTGTGAAAAGTTCATTTAGGAACATAATCTTCAGAGTCAATTTTTATAATATCACTGAGCTTGTTTCCGAAACCAAGACCTGTCTCTTAGGGGACACTTAGATTTATGATTTGAGTAAGTTAGCGTAAAACAGATAAATAGTGTGTCACATATGCCATCTACTGGTAAAACAAAACTCTTATCTATAGATTAAAGTAATATTTTTTAATATTTAAGGAAATTATACTTCTTAAAGCAAATATTCAATGTATTTTCATTAGTAGATATTTAAATAAAAATGCAAAGAATGTAAAGGATTTCAAAGTTTAATAAATTTAAGTGCAGTATTATACAATCCAGGTCACGATCTGAGATACAACTAGGCCAAATAGCTTTAATCAGTTTCAGGCAACTAAATGCACTTTTAAGCCCTTTCTCAAATTGACCTATGAATACAATCCAAAGAGGGCAAGTTTTTTAAAAAGTGGGTATGACTCATTCATTCAAATTTCAATACCACTGAAGAAAGATCATATTAAAACTAGCTTTGTTAACAGATATTTGGGTGTTTTTTTTTTTCTTTCTTTTTGCAAAACTGGGGATAGAACCCCAGGTCTCATACATTAGTAGGCAAGGAATATACCACAGAGCCACATTCTCAAGTCAACAGAGCAATATAATCACCATTAACCAGAAGAACAGTAGGCATCTTCCAGGGCACGCTATTTTCAGTAAAACAGAAAGATTACACTAGAAAAATGTGGTGTTTATTAACATTTGACTTAGAAATATTATAGACCACACAAGCACAATGGTGCATGCCTATATTGCCAGCAACTGGGGAGGCTGAGACAGAAGGATTGCAAGCTCTAAGCCAGCCTAGGCAACTCAGCAAGATCCTATCTCATAAGAATACAGAAAAAAAAAAAAAAAGGCTAAAAGTGGGGACCGGGAATGTAGTTCAGTAGTAGAGTGCCCATGGCCTGTATACCACACATACACACACAAAAAAGTGACCAACATAAATAATTAAAATGAGGAAAATCTAGAACACTGAATTTTCTCTCTAAACACATCACACCAAACTAAACAAATAATGAAGGGTGTGCAGATTTTTCAAAATGAGCACAAAATATTCTTTCAGAAGAATCAACAGCCTATTGCCAAATCAGTCACCTTCATATGAGTTTTCTTTTCTTACTAATTAAGAGAGCACCCTGCACCGCATGCAACAAGATGTGGATGATGAGGACAAAGGTAGATAAAAAGTCGATCACCTCCATATCTCAATCCAAAAACCAAAGTTGAACACCAAAAACATTTAACTCTGGCTCAATTTATAACAGCAAGTACTGAAAAAGTATAGAAAATGAAAAATAAGTTTAAGGAAGTATATTTCTGATACAGTATCTTATCCCACCAACTTTACCTCTGGAAAGATAGAAGATTAAGAGCTGTAGAAAAGCTGCTGCATTTCCGTTTATGCTTCCTGACAAATATGTACCATTCTCAGCTGTTCCCACTAGTGGACAACATGGTCTCAAATACTCACATGCACATTTATTTGCAGAGTTGTGCCAGACATCCATTGGATTTCTTTGTTTGTGCCGAAATGCCTCTTCAACTCTAGTTTCTGTCTTCCGAGCTCCAGTGCCATGAGGATTTATTTGTTCTGCTGTTACCGATAAGCCTGCAAGCAGAAGATAAGCAATACCTATTTAAATATTCTCAGCTACATAAACCAACGAGGTTAAAAAAAGTCTGAAATACAAAACTGAATTTTAAAGTCATTAATTATAGTTGGACAGTTTGTAATTCTGATGGAAACAGTGTCTTTTGTTTTAAGATGGGAAAGAAACTAGATATAAAATCATAAAAATAAAACACCTGCCAGGCTGTGCTTACATTCAATCCCCAAAAGAACCCTAATTTTACTCATTTTAATTCACATAGGGATACATTTCACATTATGCTTGTGGGACAATAAGATTATGCTTTGTCTAAATGTCATAATCTCTTCGATCTTAGAATGTACAATAAGTATTTATTGGGCCACTAAATTCCAGTCCCACAAATTGTTTCAATCTGATATCTGTCGCCTGTCACAGCACACTGCGGTATGTTTGGTTTTCCTGCATTATCTTCCTAAGAGTAACCATTCCATATCAATTTTCTTTAGTAGAATCTTTTCTTCCATGTGGTCTCTAAAATATCGGTGTCTCAGCACTCCCTATAAACTCTTTTCTTCTTACTCTACACCTTTCCCCATAAAGCCTCACTTATGTGTTCAGCTTCTACCGCTGTTACATAATAATTCTCACATCTGTTATTTTTAGTCCAAAGATCTCTTGACTACTGGCCCATATATTCTACTGCCTACCTGATAACTCCAAATGGATATCCTAAAGCTAGGTCAAATTGAAGATAACTGGTTTATCTTTTCCCATTAAAAAAAAAAAATGTTTGTCCTTAAATATTCTCAATCTAGCTTGGTGGTATAGGCATCTACTCATCCAACCAGTAATATTTCTTCCCTTCACAATGCCCTCTACCCCTGCAGAGACATCTCTCTTATGTTCGGCTTGTCTAATTCCACTTGCACTACATTAAAAGCCTGGACTATGCCAACAGCTTTTTCCCCGAGGCAATTTTACTGAGATACAATTACATAACATAAAAACAGCCTGACTTTTAAGCATACAGTTAAATAATTTCTATCAAATGCATAGAGCTGTACAATCATCACAGCAATTAAATTTTAAATGACTGTCCTAGACAATACCACTTGATTTTTTTGTCATCACAGACTTCCCATTTTTAGGCATTTCACATAAAGGAATCATACAAGGTCTTTTGTGATTGCTTTCTTTTGCTTAGCATAATGCTTCTCAAGTTCACCCATGTTGTACTGTGTATCCAGTACTTTGTTCCTTTTTTATTACTGCGTAGTATGGATATACTATAATTTGCTCACTCATTCACCAGTTGTCTGTCATTTAGGTTATTTCCAGCTTTTGGTTATTATGAATAATGTTCCTACAAATAGTTATGTACAAATTTTTACGTGGGCATATATTTTCATTTTTCTTGGGTAAATTCCAAGGAGCAGAATCACTGGGTCATGGAGTAAATCTATGTTTAACTTTTTAGAAACTGCCAAACTGTTTCCCAAAGTGGCTCCAACAGCTTTGAAAATTATCTTTCATTTTCCTGCCCTGATACATTGAGACCCTACTATTTCTTACTACCAAAGTAATTTGACCAATTCATTCCACTGCTTAACATCCTCGATAACTTCTACTGCCCATGACAATGGATTTTCAAACTTACAGGAACACAAAAACCACATCAATAATTTGTTAAAATGCAGATTTTTTGGCTTAATATTCTTTTTTTAATTTTTAAAAAATATTTATTTTTTAGTTATAGTTGAACACAACACCTTTATTTATTTATTTTTATGTGGTGCTAAGGATCAAACCCTGGGCCTCACAAGCGCCAGGTGAGCGCTCTACCACTGAGCCACAACCCCAGCCCCTTGGGTTAATAAATCTAATTTGCTAGCTCTAGGATGACTCATGTAACCGGTGTATCCACACATTTTGAAAAAAACAGGACTTATAGGACTTTATCCCATAAGTCCAAGCTCCTTAGCATGACAATGATACATTCAAATTACTGAAGATTTATTATATACCAGACACTGTCCTAGGGATTGGATTAGGACAAAAAAAAGACATCCACAGTACTTAAATTCTCAATAAGGAAGAGATGGCAAAAAAAACAAACAACATAGCTGGGTATGGAGGCATATTCCTGAAATCCTAGCAGCTAGGGAGGCTGAAGCAGGAGGATAGAAAGTTTTGAGGCCAGCCTCAGCAACTTAGTGAGGCTCTAAGCAACTTAGCAAGACCTTGTCTCAAAATAAAAAATAAAAATGGCTAGGGATGTGGCTCAGTGGTAATGCACCCCAGGGTTCTATCCCCAGTATCAAAAAGAAAAAAAAGACCCACCATGATGCCAAGTATAACCATAACCTATACTGGATTAGGGGGCCAGAGAAGGGCTCCATAAAGAGATAGAAAAAGAGTTTCTTCATAATTTTTTATCCTGGAGCCAGTTCACCTCTTAAGCCCTATTTTCTAGTATTCTGTATATTTTTAGTAATACCAAATAGTTTAATGTTTTTCCAATACACCAGGCTACTTTATGCTTCTATGCCTTTATCTGCGTTATCACTTTGAACACCTCCTCCTGTCACTGCCTTCCTTCCCCTGTCTACTGGAGGCTATGCTCCTATAGTCACTCTTTACATTCTAATCAAAATGCTGGGTTCCTGACCAGGAGGTCTCTCTTCTCTGTGCAGTACACATGCTTCAACCAGTACATGTAATGTCCTGTACTTGCTTTGCTTTATATTCTCTCTCTCCTATTAAAGTTCAAGTTCCTCAAGCACACAAATCAAACAAATCACATTTGCTAATTTTGTGGGGGGGTTTGGTTCTGGGAATTGAACCCATGGATGCCTAACCACTGAGCCATATCCCCAGCCCTTTTTTGTATTTTGAAACAGGGTCTCACTGCTGAGGCTGGCTTTGAACTTGGACTCCTCCTGCCTCAGCCTCCAAAGCCACTGAGATTACAGGTGTGTACTACTGTGCCTGGCTAATCCTGTGTTTCTAAGAACAAAATTGCACATAAGCTTCAAAAGGGAAGAAGAAAAAGTATTCCTAAAACATTTTTTTTAAGGTCTCAGTGAACTGATGAAAACTAAAACCTCTTCAGATATGGAAGCACATCTAATACCTAAATCTTCTAAAAAGAGATATAAATGATCAACAAAGTTGTAAGAGATTTCACTTTATTTCTGTACTATGCACTTGCACTGAAATTTTCATAGAAGGTAAAATTTTTAAATTCGTGAGTATTTACATGATACATATTAGTATCATAAGTTAAGTAATGGGCACAATGTTATTGTCTGAGAAAAGGAATAAGTTCTGGTGTTCTATGGTATAGCAGAGTGAATATAACTAATAATAATGCACTATATATCTCCGAATAGTTAGAAGAGAGGAGTTTGAATGTAATCACCATAAAAGTTTAAGGTGAAGGACATGTTAATTATCCTGAGTTAACCCAGTGTATACATGAATTAAAACATTATGTTACCTCATAAATATGTATAAATATTATGTGATTAAAGGAAAACTGAAATAAACTTCTTTAGAAAAGATATTTAGGCTGGGGCTGTAGTTCAGTGGCAGAGCACTTGCCTAGCATGTGTGAGGCACTGGGTTTAATTCTTAGCCCCATCTAAAAATAAGCACATAAAATAAAGGTATTCTGTCCACTGACAACTACCAAAAGAAGAAATAAATAAGTAAATAAATTAAGTACAGGTTAAACTTCAAAACACATTATTTTCATATACCAGAATTCCCAAAGAAATATCATTCAATAACTCTTGGTGTGAAATGATAGGCAAGACTTCAGAAGCAAGTTTATTTTCACAACTTACCTCTTTTTATTCTTGCTTCTTTAATTTCTTCACAGAGTTTATTAAATTCTGGATCTAATTCAGCTGCAATGATGGCATGTGCAGTGTCCTTCAGGGTACAAGCTCTGTGTCTAATTATTTTATCTGTTTAAAAAGGTCATAAAATTTATTATAGGCACAAATGAAATAACATTAACACAGGACATCTTCAAAAGAGAAGCAAAAGTACACAAACATTTAAATAAAAAATTTTAAAAAATAAATATAAGTTACACAATGAAGTTAATAATTCTGTGAAAAGTGAACTTTTAGAACCTCAAAGTACTAAACCTATTAAATAAATCATTATCTCAAACACATATAGATTTTTTTTAAACTTCTGGAAGTAAAAATGATTTTCAATAAAAGTATAAACAGAATTCAGAGGCTCTTCATTGACACCCAGTTCTAGATACATACTAAAAGCTCAGAAAAATCTTAATTTTCTCTACCAGTTAAAACTGGTCAAAACTGTGCCAAAGAATATGATATATCCTGAGTAAGGGAGACCTATTAACAAATACAGAAAGACTCTTTAAGGGGATAGAGCTCAGACCTGAGTTCAATCCCCAGCACCACAAAAAAAAAAAAAAAAAAAAAAAAAACTCTTTAAGCTCAAGTGTCCAAGACAGTATATAAACTATATGCAGATTAAGAAGAGAACTACAAAAATGGTTCTAGGTAAACTATAAAAATGGCACTAAAAAGAAGAATCTCTGCTCCACAAGGCCCCATTCATGAATAAAGACAATGTCAACAGTGCCCTCTAGAGATGTTCGACTTAGACATGTGAAAAGGTGAGAAAATACCTCAAGGAAACTTATTTGCTAATAGTATTGAGAATCCAAAGTCAAAAATAGCATCTTCTTTTTCTTTTCTTTTAAAGGCATTATATATGGACAAATATTTTAAAAAAGATCTTTTATTTACAACATTCCTAATTAGAAAGTTTTATCAACTCATTGTAGAAATCTTATGAAAAAAGGGCGAAAGAAAGAAAGAAAGAAAGAAAGAAAGAAAGAAAGAAAGAAAGAAAGAAAGAAAGAAAGAAAGAAAGAAAGAAAGAAAGAAAGAAAGAAACAGATGCAGTCCCAACCTTCAAGCTTTTCATACTAGACAGGAAAGTGCTGTTAAAACAAATTATTTCTCATACATACATGTAAATATCTCCCTCTTAAAAAAAAAAGAGCTATGAAGAAAACTTATGTGTATTAGTTTGAGTGACAATTTCAACTGGGCAAATCAAGGTGAGCCTCTCTGAAGAAGAGACCCTTAGGCTGGCACATGGAGCATTCATAGAAGAGCCACGGCAAGACCAGAGAGAAATCAATGCAGGTTCAGGCAATACCATGGGAGAAAATTCTGGAGTGAAAAAAAGCTAGGAGATTTTAGAAACTGAAATGTAGCCTATATGGTAAGAATATAATAAGCAAAAGGAAATATAGATTTTAGCCTACAAGCAATGAAAAATAATTTAAAAGATGTGAGCAAAGAAATAACAGGATCCAAGTTTACATCCATGAATGTTTACTCTGGGCTTGTGCCTGGAGAATGGATTGAGAAGAGTCAAGACACAAACCCATAAGCATAATCACAAGGCCCTTTTCATCTGGGGCAATGGTGGTGGTGGTGGTTGTAATAATAAAGGAAGAAATTATTATTGACTTGGAAAGTGCTCTCAATGATAATTTTGGTGATAAGGCAAAAGAGGTAGTACAATAAATATCAAAGATGATATTTAATTCTCCTAGCTTCTTGTATGAAACATGGGGGATGGAAGTACTATTTATAAAGATGGAAAAAACTACAAAATAAGAAGGAAAAAGGGATAAAAAGGGTAAACATTAGTTTAAAAGACTTTAAGTTGTGACTATTTCAGTTTTGAGATGCCTAAAAAATATCTCAATGGCCAGACATGGCCAGCGACTGGAGAGGCTAAGGCAGGAGGATCACAAGTTTAAGGCAAACCACAACTTAGGAAGGCCCTTAGCAATTTAGCAAGACGCTGTCTCAAAATTAATAATGATAAAGGGGTGGGGGATATGGCTTAGTTGTAAAGTGCCATTGGGTTCAATCCCTAGTACAGCGGGGGGAAACCTCAATGGAAATATCACATAGGCAAATAAATATAGATCTCAACAATTCTTGTTATGATGAAAGAACCACAATGATTTTGTAATCTATCTACTATTACCATATTGTATCTTCTCTAAGTCTTTTTAAATCTCCTGGGATACAATAGATACATAATAAACTGCAAATATATAAAGTATATAATTTGATGTTTTGATATAAGTCACATACATCCATAACATCATCACTATACCCAAGATAATGAATACATCACCACCAAAAGTTTTCTTGTGCTCCCCTATTTTCTCTCCCTCCAACCTTTCCTATAACCTTCCATTCCCAGAAAACCACTGACCTTTCTGTTACTATAAATCAGTTTATAACTTCTATAATTTTGTGTATATGTATCTGTGTGTGTATGTGTGTTGAGGGGGGGACTCTCTGATTATATACATACTTGAGTATATACTAAGAAGTAGGATAACTGGATCAAATGGTGGTTCCATTCCAAGTTTTCTGAGGCATCTCCATAGTGCTTTCCAGAGAGGTTTCACCAATTTACAGTTCACCAAATCCTCACCAACATTGTTACTTTTATTCCTGATCATTACCATTCTGACTGGACTAAGATGGAATTTCAGTTTAGTTTTAATTTGCATCTCTCTAATTGCTAGATATGTTGAATAGTTTTCATATATTTGTTGACCACTGATTTTTCTATACACTGATCCCATTTTTTGTGTTATTTTGGGGTTGTTGGGTTTTTTTTTTTGTTGTTGTTGTTTGTTTGTTTATGGTGGGGGTTTTTTTGTTGTTGTTGTTGTTGTTTTTTTTTTTAGTTCTTTATATATCCTAGAGATTAATACTCTGAGGGGCAGGTGGCAAAGATTTTCTCCCTTAGGGGTCTTTTAATATTTATGTTCACCTCCTCATTCCTGTTATCAGTTATTTTTGTCTTCTTTCCCATTAACCTAATTAGTCCAGTTAGAGGGTTATCAATTACTGACCTAAAAAAACCAGCTTTGATTCTTGTTGATTTTCTATATATTTTATTTTTGTTTTTCATTAATTTCTGCAGATCACTAACTTCATATCTTTAGTATTTCATTTTGGGTTTCATCTGCTCTTCTTTGGGGGAACTGGAGTCACTGGCTTGAGATATTTCTTCTTTTCTAATTTAGCTAATTAGTGCTAACCTACCCCCCAAAAGTACTACATTAGCTGCATCACACAAATGTGAATATATCTTAATTTTATTCAATTCAAAAACTTTTGAACTTATCCTCTGATTGCTATCTTACCCAAGTGTTATTTAGAAGTTGGTATTTAGTTTCCAAATATTTTTATTTCCAGATAGCCTTCAGTCATTGATTTCTAATAAATTCTACTGTTGTCAGAGAACATACTTTGTATGATTAAATGCTTTTATTATTTAACGTTTTATGGCCCAAAACATGATCTACCTTGATAAATATTCCAGTCAGTACACTAGAAAAGAAAGTATATGTCTTCTGTCACTGGATAGAGTGCTCTATAAGTGACACTTAGGTCAAGTTGGTTCGTAAGGTTATTCAAGTCTCATGATCTTCACTGATTTTCTATACACTGATCCTATTATTTAAAAGAGGAGCACTGAAGTCTGCACATCAATCAAGCCTTTTATATTTTCACTACTTTTCTCTGTACTAGCTCTTCTATTATACAGATAGGGGTACTAAATTCTTCAATTTAACAACAACTTTCTCTATTTCTCCTTGCAGTTCTATCAGTTTTGCTTCATGAATTTGGAAGCTATTTTATCACAGGCAAAAAGTTTTAGAACTGTTATGCCTGTTCGATGATTACAAAATAAGAAATTATGAAAGAGCTCTCTTTCTCCAAATAATAGTCTTGGGTATGGTATCTACTTCATATGATATTTAAATAACCATTCCAACTTCCCTTTGCTTGGTGTTAGCATAATATACTTTTAAAATGCTTTTTTCTTACATCTATTTGCACTTTACATTTAAAGTGGGTTTCTTATAGGCAACCTATGGTTAAGTCTTACATTTTTATCCAATCTGACACTTTCTGCCTGTATTTGGGGTATTTAGGCCAGAGTTCTGCAATCTTTTCCTGCAAAAGACAAAAGAGATTTAAGCTTTGCAGAACATCAGGTCTCTATGGCAAGTACTCAAAGCTGAGTTTGTGCACAAAAGCAGACATTAATAAGATGTAAAGACATGAGCATGGGGCTGGGGATATAGCTCAGTTGGTAGAGTGCTTGTCTAGCATGCACAAGGCCCTGGGTTCAATCTCCAGCACCAAAAAAAAAAAAAAAAAAAAAGCCATGACAATGACACTGTATTCCTATTTAAGAAAAAAAATACTTCAATCACAAAAACAGGCAGTCAGCCTGACAATAGTTTGCTTATAGCTTTGTCACAGATCAGACTATTACTTCTAATGATTTACAGGATTACTGATATGGTTGCTTTATTTTCTGCTTGTCCCATATGTTTATGGTTTTCTGTTTATTCACTTCTGAAATTACTCTGTACCTTTTGATGACACCTTTGCTTGGTAGTTCATTAGCTCTTTGCTGCACTATTGCTGGCCTAGTGTGAGTTTCAAAGAATATTCCCTTTCTTCCTCTGACCTCTGGTACTTCTTTCTTATATGTGAGCTGATCAGTATTTTGTTGAAGACCACGAGAGGATGTTCTGCTGACACCAAGTGCTATCTCTGTGTAGCTTTCCTCTTTCTGGAACTCTGCCACCACAAACTCCAGCCACTTTCAACTTCCAACAGTTCCAAATCTGTTTCTTCAATTCAGGGAAAACTTCAGACTATGCTTCATTGTCCTTCCTTGAGTACACTATGGAAATTCTGTGCAGGCAACCACGGCACTTATCTTACTTGCTTTTCATCTTTTGGAGATCACTACCCTGTGCTGCCTAATGTTCAATGTCTTCAAAATCTTTTTTTAAAATATATTTTGTTTAGGATTTTTCCCCCCATTGCTTCAAGTGAGAGGGGAAATCTAGTCC